TTTGATTCTTCTCTCTTTTCTTCTTTATTAGTCTGGCTAGTGGTCTATCTATTTGTTAATCTTTTCAAAAAACCAGCTCCCGGATTCACTGATTTTTTGAAAGGTTTTTCATGTCTCTGGCTCCTTCAGTTCTGCTCTGATCTTAGTTATTTCTTGTCTTCTTCTAGTTTTTGAGTCTATTTGCTCTTGCTTCTCTAGTTCTTTTAATTGTGTTTTTAGGGTGTCAACTTCAGATCTTTCCTGCTTTCTGATGTGGGCACTTTAGTGCTATAAATTTCCCTCTTAACACTGCATTAGCTGTGTCCCAGAGATTCTGGTACATTGCCTCTTTGATCTCATTGATTTCAAATAACTTTTTTTCTTCTCCCTTAATTTTATTATTTACCCAGTAGTCATTCTGAAGCAGGTTGTTCAGTTACCATGTAATTGTGCTGTTTTGAGTGAGTTTCTTAGTCCGGAGTTGTAATTTGATTGCACTGTGGTCTGAGAAGCTATTTGTTATGATTTCCATTCTTTTGCATTTGCTGAGGAGTGTTGTACTTCCAATTATGTGGTCAATTTTAGAATAAGTGCTAGGTGGTGCGGAGAAGAATGTATATTCTGTTGATTTGGGGTGGAGAGTTCTGTAGATGTCTATTAGGTCCACTTGGTCCAGGGTTGAGTTCAAGTCCTGAATATCCTTGTTAATTTTCTGTCTCGTTGATCTGTCTAATATTGACAGTGGGCTGTTAAAGTCTCCCACTATTATTGTGTGGGAGTCTAAGTCTCTTCATAGTTCTCTAAGAACTTGTTTTATGAATCTGGGTGCTCCTGTATTGGGTGCATATCTATTTAGGATAGTTAGCTCTTCTTGATGCATTGATCCCTTTCCCATTACATAATCCCCTTCTTTTTTTTTTTTAATCTTTGTTAGTTTAAAGTTCATTTTATCAGAGACTAGGATTGCAATCTCTGCTTTTTTTTGCTTTCCATTTACTTGGTAAATATTCTTCTATCCCTTTATTTTGAGCCTATGTGTGTCTTTGCATGTGAGATGGGTCTCCTGAATATAGCACACTGATGGGTCTTGACTCTTTATCCAATCTCCCAGTCTGTGTCTTTTAATTGGGGCATTTAGCACATTTACATTTATGGCTAATATTGTTATATGTGAATTTGATCCTGTCATCATGATGCTAGCTGGTTATTTTGCACATTGGTTGATGTAGTTTCTTTTTGTTTGTTTTGTTTTGTTTTGAGATGGAGTTTTGTTCTTGTTGCCCAGGCTGGAGTGCAATGGCACAATCTCAGCTCAATGCAACATCCACCTCCTGGGTTCAAGTGATTCTCCTGCCTCAGCCTCCCAAGTAGCTGGGATTACAGGCATGCGCCACCACGCCCAGCTAATTTTGTATTTTTAGTAGAAATGGGGTTTCTCCATGTTGGTCAGGTTGGTCTAGAGCTCCTGATCTCAGGTGATCTGCCCACCTCAGCCTCCCAAAGTGCTGGGATTACAGGCGTGAGACACTGCAGCTGGCCGATGTAGTTGCTTTATAGTGTCATTGGTCTTTATAATTTGGTATGTTTTTGCAGTGGCTGATACCAGTTTTTCCTTTCCATATTTAGTGCTTCCTTCAGGAGCTCTTGTAAGGCAGGCCTGGTGGTCACAAAATCCCTCAGCATTTGCTTATCTCGAAAGGATTTTATTTCTCCTTCATTTATGAAGCTTAGTTTGGCTGGATATAAAAATCTGGGTTTAAAATTCTTTTGTGTAAGAATGTTTGAATATTGGCCCCCACTCTCTTCTGGCTTGTAGGGTGTCTGCAGAGAGATCCACTGTTAGTCTGATGGGCTTCCCTTTGTAGGTAACCTGACCTTTCTCTCTGGCTGCACTTAACATTTTTTCCTTTGTTTCAACCTTAGAGAATCTGATGATTATGTATCTTGGGGTTGGTCTTCTCCAGGAGTCTCTTAGTGGTGTTCTTAGTATTTTCTGAATTTGAAAGTTGGCCTGTCTTGCTAGATTGGGGAAGTTCTGGATAATATTCTGAGGTGTGTTTTCCAACTTGGTTCCATTCTCGTCACTTTCAGGTGCACCAATCAATTGTAGGTTTGGTCTTTCCACATAGACCCATATTTCCTGGAGGCTTTATTCGTTTTATTTTTTCTTATCCTTTTTTCTCGAATCCTGTCTTCATACCTTATTTCAGTAAGTTGATCTTCAATCTCTGATATCCTCTTCTGAGCTTCATTGATTTGGCTATTGATATTTGTATGTGTGTCAAGAAGTTCTCGTGCTGTGTTTTTCAGCTCCATCAGGTCATTTGTGTTCTTCTCTAAATGGGTTATTCTAGCTAGCAGTTTCTGTAACCTTTCATCAAGGTTCTTAGCTTCTTTGCATTGGGTTAGAACATACTCCTTTAGCTCAGAGGAGTTTGTTATTACCCACCTTTGGAAGACTACTTCTGTCAATTGCTCATTCTCATCCAGTTTTGTGCCCTTGCTGGAGAAGAGTGGAGATCATTTGGAGGAGAAGAGGCATTGGGGTTTTGGAATTTTCAGCATTTTTGTGCTGGGTTTTCCTTATCTTTGTGGATTTATCTACCTTTGATCTGTGAGGCTAATGACCTTTGAATAGAGTTTTTGTCTGGGGGTACTTTTGTTGATGTTGATGTTATTGCTTTCTGTTTGTTAGTTTTTCTTCTAACAGTCAGGTCCCTCTTCTGCAGGTCTGCTGCAGCTTGCTAGAGGTCCACTCCAAACCCTATTTGCCTGGGTATCACCAGCGGAGGCTGCAGAACAGCAAAGATTGCTGCCTGCTCCTTCTTCTGGAAGCTTTGTCCCAGAGGGGTGCCAGTCTGATGCTAGCTAGAGCTCTCCTATATGACGTGTCTGTTGACCCTTGCTGGGAGGCTTCTCCCAGTGAGGAAGCATGGAGGTCAGGGACCCATTTGAGGAGGCAGTCAGTCTCTCTCTTAGCAGAGTTCCAGTGCTGTGTTAGGAGAAGCCTCCTTGTCAGGATCCACTGCTCTCTTCAGAGCTGGCAGGCAGGATGTTTAAGTCTGCTGAAGCTGCCCCCAAAGCCACCACTCCCCCCAGGTGCTCTGTCCCAGGGAGGTGGGAGTTTTATCTGTAAGCCCATGACTGGGGCTGATGCCTTTCTTTCAGAGATGCCCTGCCCAGGGAGGGGGAATCTAGAGAGACAGTCTGGCCACAGACACTTTTCAGCACTGTGGTGAGTTCTGCCCAGTCTGAACTTCCTGGCCTCCTTAGCACTGTCAGGGGAAAACTGCCTACTCAAGTCTCAGTAGTGGCAGACATCCCTCCCTGCACCAAGCTCGATTGTCCCAGGTCAACTTCAGACTGCTGTGCTGGCAGCAAGAATTTCAAGCCAGTAGATCTAAGCTTGCTGGGCTCCATGAGAGTGCGACCCACTGAGTGAGACCACTTGGCTCCCTGGCTTCAGCCCCCTTTCTAGGGGAGTGAACGGTTCTGTCTCACTGGGTTTCCAGGTGTCACTGGGGGTGGGGGGACCAACCTGCAGCTAGTTCTGTGTCTGTCCAAACAGCTGCCCAGTTTTGTGCTTGAAACCCAGAGCCCTGGTAGTATAGGCACACAAGGGAATCTCCTGGTCTGTGGATTGCAAAAATCATGGGAAAAGCATAGTATCTGGGCTGGATAGCACAGTCCTTCACGGCTTCCCTCGGTTGGGGAAGGAAAGCCCCCAGCTCCTTGCACTTCCTGGGTGAGGTGACACCCCACCCTGCTTCTGCTGGCCCTCTGTGGGCTGCATCCACTGCCTAACCAGTCCCTACGAGATGAACTGGGTACCCCAATTGGAAATGCAGAAATTACCTGCCTTCTACGTTGGCCTCGCTGGGAGCTATGGACCAGAGCTGTTCCTATTTGACCACCTTGCCAGATCTCTAGCATATTGTAAGTTTTTAACAAGGGTTTGTTTTTGTCACATCCCTTTCAAATCACACACATTCACACACATATTAACGCTCAAATACACTTATACATGCAAGACATAAACACACAGACTCAAAAACGTGGGTAATGTGGTAACCAAGCCATGATTCAGGGATAACCCAGGAAATGGTATGGATTAGCCAGTGATACCTCCCAGATTTAGCTTCTGGACTGGCTGGATCCATGAGGAAAAAACATAACAGTGGTACAATTAATCAGGTTTAAAAAATAATTGATGAAGAAATATTATTTTGATCTACACTATCAAACCACTATCAACGTGGAAAAAAACTTGGTTACCTAACACCTCTGATTACACAATCTCTTTGCAGAAGCTAAACCCGTTGAATCAATGCAGACAAAACTGGGCTACCTTAGACGAAATCTACTCATTTTAGTTGGTTTTATCATCATCTTCTTCGTCTTTACCTGTTTTTGTTTTCTCCATTATAATTGTATCAGCGATGATGCCGCCAAAGCAGAAATGTAAGTTTTACTACTTTAAATTAAGAGTGCCAGCTGTGTGTGTGTGTGTGTGTGTGTGTGTGTATACACATAGTGGAGGTTTCATTATTGCTCAGGTTACTTAATTTTAGACTAGTGAAGAGCTACCAATATGTTGTAGGTGAATATTTTCCACTTAAATCATATCAGCTCTTAAATATTCTCTAGTACATTATTAACTTTAGCCAAAGTGTCTCTTGTTCAGGGTTCGGCTGAACTCCAGGATATTAATTGCATTATAAATTCAGTGTAGGAAAAGAGGGCATGAATAGCTGAATAAGAGTGGGAGAATGAAGAGAAAGAAAGAGGGAATTGGGTCTCTGTTTTTCAAAGACAATAAAACATTTTGGATAATCTACCATTTTAAGATTTAATGCATCAAAAATTATTCAGTGTTGTTACTCTCATGATCTCAGTGCCTGCCTTTTATATGCTAATTCCCTAAAAATATCCCATTCCAAAGACTGGTGACTATAATGTGGTACTAGTATTGTACTCCTTTAGTTTCAGAGGAATGTTATGAATTTAAATATGCACAGATAACTTGATATTGTAGATATGATATAAAAACAATGACTTTTTCTACAGATGCTTTTATCTTGTGATACATTATCAATTTGTGACTTTTTTATAAATAAATTCTGAAATAAGTGAGATTCATTCTCTCTCTCTCTCTGAGTGTTTGTGTGTTTCTTTCTCTCTTATTGTAGTAGATTTGAAACAACTTTGTGTCATTCTATAGGCGGACTATATGGTTATCTAATGTGGTTAAATAGTAAAATACTCCTAAGAAAAAGCATTAAACAAGAGTTCGTATTTATAACCTTAGTTGTGGCTTTCACTACACTCCAATTCTGGTTTTTTGCACGTGTTTTTTTGTTTGTTTTTGAGACAGAGTCTCATTCTGTCACCTAGGCTGGAGTGCAATGGCATGATCTCGGCTCACTGCAACCTCTGCCTCCCAGGTTCAAGTGATTCTTATGCCTCAGCCTCCCAGGTAGCTGGGGATTACAGGTGCGTGCGACCACGCCAGGCTAACTTTTGTATTTTTAGTAGAGACGGTGTTTCACCATGTTGGCCAGGCTGGTCTCGAACTGCTGGCCTCAAGTGATCTGCCCTCCGTGGCCTCCCAAAGTGCTGGGATTACAGGCGTGAGACACCACGCCCAGCTACCACACTCCAATTCTTACTGTGTTCAGTCTTCATCCTAAAGCCCCAAAACGATCACAGGTCTAAGCTGACAGTACTGTATGTTCTCTGATAATAGTAATAGGTCTCTTTTGTTTTAAATCATTATATTCCAAATTTTCTATGCTTTCAGGGGCAAGAAAAAAGGTATGGCATCCAACTCGTGCAAAATATCATTCAGTGAGGACAAGACAACCAGTCAATTAAATCCTGAAAAACAATCTCTGCTATCCACTATAGACAAGATATCTGAGCACTCAAGTTCAGAAAATTCATCATCCAGTGCAGAAAAATTAATCAAGCCCTCGAGCCTACAAAAGCCATCCATACAAAACCGTGCACGAAAGTTAACTAGGCCATCATATCCAAAAAAGTCACCCAAGTCATCATGCCCAAAAAAATTATGCAAGTCATCTCACTTGGAAAAGTCACATAGGTCATGCAGTCTAGAAAAGTTTTGTAAACTAGCCTATGCCTGTAAGCTAGCCAGTTCAGATAAGTCAGTCAGGCAACCTTTGCTATCCAAGCCACTTTGTTCATCCCATCCACAAGATGAAATCTCATCACCCGAGCCATTCAGTCTACAGAAATTGGCTAAGCCTCCATTAGCTAAGCCTCCCAAACATTTTAATCCAAAAAGGTCAGTGAGTCCAGGCGGGGCAGTCTTATCATCCAACCCTCAATTAGCCAAAACTTGTCAATCCCACAAGGAACGATGTCTTATTTCCAAAACCTATAAGCCTTTGGTCAATGACATTTCTGAGGCAAAGAAGAAAAACACTCAAAACCCTTGTGTTTCAAGTAAAGTCAAGTCCTTTTCCAGGTCCTCTAGTAAGTTAGATTCCAGGAATAATGCACACTGTGATCACGCGAATGATAGGAATAAGATGAAATGTTACACTGAGAATGACAGCGATAGGGAGGTAACCCTTATGTGCAACAGCAATGAAGCCAACTTCAAGTGACCCTCAACGATTAGGAGCTCAACAAAAATAAAATCCAAGTGTGAAAGAGGAAACTTATACCAATTATTTTATGCTCATCATTGCTTAAGACACCAATAGAGGGAAAAATCACTATCAAAATCAGCCCTATCCATCTTGGAGGTGATTTATTTAAAAAATATCAATAAAATGCATGACATAAATTACTATTGCAATTATTATTTCATTTTAAGGGGCACAAGGATCTTTTGATGTATCTTACTTAGACCTGGTCACTTGGATAAGAACCATAAACATACACTCACACAAACCTAGAAAGAAATTGCAAGATGGGGCTGGGTACGGTGGCTCACACCTGTAATCCTAGCACTTTGGGAGGTGGAGGCAGGCAGATCACCTGAGATCAGGAGTTCGAAGTGAGCCTTGCCAACATGGTGAAACCTTGTCTCTACTAAAAATACAAAAATTAGCCAGGCATGGTGGCGGGTGTCTGTAATCCCAGCTACTGTACTAGGGAGGCTGTTGCAAAAGAATCGCTTGAACCCAGGAGGCGGAGGTTGCAGTGAGCCAAGATCGAGCCACTGGCCTCCAGCCTGGGTGACAGAGCAAAGCTCCAACTCAAAAAAAAAGAAAAAGAAATTGCAAGATGGGTACACTAGACTCTTCCTTACCTTAGATTAGCTCTCAACTGACGTCCCAATCCAATTATCTTTTAATGTTTAAGTGCAGGCCTCACAGTTGAAGACTGTCTCTTTTCCTGTAGTGTCCAGTGCCTGTTGGAAGTAGTTCTGTGCTATGGACTAAATGTTCGTGTTCCCCCAAATTGATGTGTTGACACCTAATCCCCTATGTGATGGCATCAGGAGGTGGAGGCTTGGGGAGGTAATAAGGTCATGTGAGCAGAGTACCTTTCAGCCCCATATAGGGGTACTAATCCTTTATAAGGGGCTGAAGAGTTCACCCCTTCCACCATGTGAAGACACAGTGAAAAGACTCTATCTACACATCATAGAGCCAATCTTCACTGAATATTCTGGTGTCTTGATCTAGACTTCCTAGCCTCCAGAATTGCCAGCAATAAATTTTGGTTGTTTATAAGACACCCAGTTGATGATATTTTACTATAGCAGCCTGGACAGACTAGAACATTCTGTGCACTTGATTCTGGCTGAGTTGGGAAAATTCCTGATAACCACTTCTGTATTTTGGGTTTTTTTCTTGCTCTGTCCCCCAGGCTGGAGTGCAGTAGTGCGATCTCGGCTCACTGCAACTTCTGCCTCCCAGGTTCAAGTGATTCTCCTGCCTCAGCCTCCTGAGTAGCTGGGACTACAGGCATACACCCCCACCCCCGGCTAATTTTTGTATTTTTAGTAGAGACCAGGTTTCACCACATTGCCCAGGCTGGCCTCGAACTCCTGACCTCAAATGATCCGCCCGCCTCAGCCTCCCAAAGTGCTGGGATTATAAGCGTGAACCACCACATCTGGCCTTCCTGATAACCACTTTTAACACCATCGCCTCTGGTGGCTATTATCTAAAGTGCTGATCCAGCCTGTGGCACCCACACTTGGAGCACCATGACATTAGTCCAAGAGTTCTAAACTTCTAAATCTCAACAAGGCTTTTCATTGTTTCATTACTCATCAAAATGGTGAAAGAGTTTGCCCTGGCATGCATTTTTCAAAGGTCTCAGTTTGTGGTCTACATATTTGTACATATTTGTCCTACATGGCACCTCCCCACTCTGAACCAGAAGTGATAGAAAGCCAGAGGAGAATCTTAGAGTTATATCCTTTAAGTTCCCCATTGATTAAATGTTATCCTTGCCTTCTTCCAAGGGCATCGTTGAGAAAATCAGGCAAAGTCCTGTATTCCCAGCCTATATTCTAGTAGAGTATATAGTCTGTCTCATATAACATCCAGCAGGCAGAATTTAAATGTTAGTAGCAAGCATATATTGGATATGTATTATTCTTCAGGCACTGTACTAGTCCTTTTATATTTCACAGGTCCTAAGTTCACTCTCAAGTTTGCTGATTCACCACAAGAACTCATAAAACTCAATACTCATGGCTAAGGTTTATTAGAGCAAGGTTACACAGACCAAGAGCAAGAGGAAAAATATATCAGGAGAAATCCAGAGAGGTCAGGGACAGGCTTTTGAGTACTTTCTCGTCAGGGGCCACATAGGATATGCTTTCTCTCTGGCAGCAAACTGCATTGACATGTGCAGAATGTCTCTGCCCAGGGAAAACTGTTAGTCTCTTGGTCTGAGGCTTTTATTGAGTCAGTCTCATAGCGACATCATGCTACATTACCAGCCAAAGCAACTGAAACACAGGATCACAAATGATACAAATGCACTTCATATAGGTTGATGTTTATGCAAAGCAAAATCCTGACAAGCTGATGAGGCCAGGTCCATTGCTCCAGGTGTACAAAACATAATTACCAACCATTCACATGAGAACATTCTGAGGGCCACATTCCCAGGGGTTGACCAAAGGTCAGTAATGGTTCCAGGTTCCCTTGAAGACATACACGTCTGTTGTATTAACACTACATATCTTTTATTTAAACTTCAACAGTTCCCCAGTATAGGAAAGATTATACGAGTAAACTGAGGCTCTGCAACATATAGTAAGATTACATCTAGTAATTGGCTGAACTGAGATTTGGATCTATGACTGGCTTATGCTCAGTCATTCTTTATGTTGTACTGCCTTCTCACTACCAGCTAGTAGGATGCTGATTACTCACAGATCACCCAATCCATCTTTGTGGGCAAAATCTCTACTTCACTTCTT